GCCACTAAAGCGCAGGATCCTAATCAAAGCCTTTAACCTTTTTCCACGAAATAGTCACAGAGGACAGATCGATAACAAAGCACGAAGCTACAGCCCGAGTTACAGATACAGATGAACGGGTATACGTGATGATTTTAACGGATTACTATTTGGTCACAAGCACAGAAAAACTCGCTTACATGATGGCGTACTAGCCGGAAAGAGAGAGGGCAAGTACCCAGCATGCCTTAAGGAAAACGGCAGTGGCGTACTTCCGCTTTTCGCAGTGCTGCTGGGAAATGTGGTCTTCTTTTCTCTTCGACTTTTCGCGTTTGTCACTTATGTGGTAATTTTCAGAGACAAACACGCGCTCATTGTCCAGTTTCGAGTGATTTCATTCCTACACATATGAAGCAAAAATATTTGTAAACATAAAGACAAATCCGGAGCCATAATTTACTGCGTCGAACTGCATATTAATTAGGAGTCAATTACAAAGTCAACATTAATAACATGCGTTAAATTTTTTAAATGTAATTTTAACTTGTCTTTAATCAGCTTTCATATTTTCTACAGATAAAATGAATGAATAAATAAATAAATAAATAAATAAATAAATAAATAATAACGTATAAGCGAGCAAAGTTGGTGATCTTCGAGTTCTCTGACGTAAAGGTGAACTGCGCATGCGCTCTGACAGAACCTGTCGCTCTCTAATCTCGCAGCAGAATGGATCCTCCGGTCGTGGTTCTACGCTTGCAGACCTGACGGAAGCCTCGTATCTTCCTCACTAAAGTTAGCGACTTTTCTCAAACATACCAAGAATTTAAAAATCTGTGTTCGTATTTCGGCTAGCTGGCTAAACAATAGCTAGCTTTAGCCAGCTAGGTACAAGCTAAAGGTGAACATGTCTGTTGATGTTTTGAGGGGCTGTCGGTCGTTTTGATGTTACTGTGACCTTCTGTGTTGATGTCACAGACTCGACATGGGAAAAGGCTGTAAAGTCGTGGTGTGCGGCCAGGCGGCTGTGGGGAAAACTGCTATTCTGGAACAGCTGCTGTACGGAAACCACACTGTAGGTGAGGACTGGACGTGCAGGGGCGTGATGCTAGCTTTGAACACTCTTTATTTGGCATAACATACGCACATTCTGCCAGGACATGAATTGTTTGGTATATTTATATTACATGGCGTTGATACATCATGCTGTATGAGAGCATTCTGATGCTTCATTGCCAAGATCCTCATTTGCTCTTTTTACTTTCCGTCTGTACCTTTCAGGGTCAGAGTCTAACGAGACACAGGAGGACGTGTACGTGGCCTCTGTGGAAACCGACCGAGGTGTGAAGGAGCAGCTCAGGCTCTATGACACCAAGGGGCTGAATGATGGGCAAGACCTCCCTAAGCACTACTACTCAGTGGCAGATGGCTTTGTGCTTGTTTACAGTGTTGACAGCTTGGAGTCTTTCAAGAGGGTGGACGTCCTGAAGAAAGAGATAGATAAGTCCAGAGATAAAAAAGAGGTGAGGCTGGGTTGAAGTCGGGCAAACGTTGCACAGATTGCTGGCATATCATCCCAGAACTTCACAAGTTCTTTGTCTGTGAGCAGATGTCCAGTTTTTGCCTGATTAAATAATATAATTACATTTAGAGTATTTCTTAACAGCTCTAGTTTCCGCCT